GTTATTGTAGGTCTTTACCTTCTCTTGTGTTTCCTGCCTAAAGAAGTTCCTTTAGCATTTGTTGTAAAGCTGGTTTGGTGGTGCTGAATTCTCTTAACTTTTACTTGTCTGTAAAGGTTTTATTTAATTTCTCTGTTGAATGTGAATGAGATCCTTGCTGGGTAGAATAATCTTGGTTGTAGGTTTTTCCCTTTCATCACTTTAATTATGTCTTGCCACTCCTTTCTGGCTTGTAGAGTTTTTGCTGAAAGATCAGCTGCTAACATTATGGGGATTCCCTTGTATGTTATTTGTTGCTTTTTCCTTGCTGCTTTTAATACTTTTTCTTTGTATTTAATTTTTGATAGTTTGATTAATATGTGTCTTGGCATGTTTCTCCTTGGATTTACCCTGTATGAGAGTCTCTGCACTTCCTGGACTTGATTATTTCCTTTCTCATATTATGAGAGTTTTCAACTATAATCTCTTCAAATATTTTCTCAGTCCCTTTTTTTTTCCTTTCTTCTTCTGGCACCCCTATAATTCAAATGTTGGTGAATTTAATGTTGTCCCAGAGGTCTCTGAGACTGTCCTCAATTATTTTCATTCTTTTTTCTTTATTCTGCTCTGTGGTAGTTATTTCCACTATTTTATCTTCCAGGTCACTTCACCGTTCTTCTGCCTCAGTTATTCTGCTATTGATTCCTTGTAGAGAATTTTTGATTTCATTTATTGTGTTGTTCATCCTTGTTTGTTCACTGTTTAGTTCTTCTAGGACCTTGTTAAACGTTTCTTGTTATTTTCTCCATTCTGTTTCCAAGATTTTGGATATCTTTACTATCATTATTCTGAATTCGTTTTCAGGTAGACTGCCTATTTCCTCTTCATTTGTTTGGTCTGGTGGGTTTTTATCTTGCTCCTTCATCTGCTGTGTGTTTCTCTGGTCTTTTCATTTTGCTTATCTTACTGTGTTTGGGGTCTCCTTTTTGCAGGCTGCAGGTTCGTAGTTCCCGTTGTTTTTGGTGTCTGTCCCCAGTGGCTAAGGTTGGTTCAGTGGGTTGTGTAGGCTTCCTGGTGGAGGGTACTGGTGTCTGTCTTCTGGTGGATGAGGCTGGATCTTGTCTTTCTGGTGGGAGGACCACATCGGGTGGTGTGTTTTGGGGTGTCCATGACCTTATTATGATTTTAGGCATCCTCTCTGCTAATGGGTGGGGTTGTTTTTCTGTCATGCTAGTTGTTTGGCATAGAGTGTCCAGCACTGTAGCTTGCTGGTCGTTGAGTGGAGCTGCGTCTTAGCATTGAGATGGAAATCTCTGGGAGAACTTTTGCTGTTTGATATTACGTGGAGCCGGGAGGTCTCTGGTGGACCAATGATCTGAACTTGGCTCTCCCATCTCAGAGGCTTAGGCCTGACACCCAGCTGGACCACCAAGATCCTGTCAGCCACATGGCTCAGAAGAAAAGAGAGAAAAAAATAGAAAGAAAGAAAGAAGAGAGCAACCAAACCAAAAAACAAATCCACCAATGATAACAAGCACTAAAAACTATACTATAAAAAGCAAAAAAAAAAAAAAAAAACAAAAGAAAACAAAGAGAACCCTAGGACAAATGGTAAAAGCAAAGCTATGCAGACAAAATTACACAAAGAAGCATACACATACACACTCATAAAAAGAGAAAAAGGAAAAAAATATGTATCTATATATAAGAAAAAACGGAAGAGAATAACCAAATCAGTAAACAAATCCACCAATGATAATAAGCTCTAAATATTAAACTAAGGTAAACATGAGGCCAGAAACCAGTCAGTCGCAGACAGCAAATCCCAAGTCTACAGTTGCTCCCAAAGTCCACCGCCTCAATTTTGGGATGATTCATTGTCTATTCAGCTATTCCACAGATGCAGGGTACATCAAGTTGATTGTGGGGATTTAATCCACTGCTCCTGAGGCTGCGGGGAGAAACTTCCCTCTTCTTTGTTTGCAAAGCTCCTGTGGTTCAGCTTTGGATTTGGTCCCACCTCTGCTTGTAGGTCACCTGAGGGCCTCTGTTCTTCACTCAGACAGAACGGGGTTAAAGGAGCAGCTGCTTTGGGAGCTCTGGCTCACTCAGGCCGGGCGGAGGGAGGGGTACGGATGCGGGGTGAGCCTGCAGCAGCAGAGGCCGGCGTGACGTTGCACCAGCCTGAGGTGCGCCATGTGTTCTCCCGGGGAAGTTGTCCCTGGATCACGGGGCCCTGGCAGTGGCGGGCTGCACAGGCTTCTTGGTGGCTGCAGCAGCAGCCTTAGCATCTCATGCCTGTCTGTGGTGCCTGCGCTGATAGCTGCAGTTCGCGCCCATCTCTGGAGCTTGTTTAGGCGGTGCTCCGAATCCCCTCTCCTCGTGTACCCCAAAACAATGGTCTGTTGCCTCTTAAGCAGTTCCAGACTTTTCCCCAGAATCCCTCCTGGCTAGCTGTGGTGCACTGGCCCCATTCAGGCTGTGTTCACACAGCCAACCCCAGTCCTGTCCCTGGGATCTGACCTCCGAACCCTGATCCTCAGCTCCCACACCCGCCCATCCTGGCAGGTGAGCAGACAAGCCTCTCGGGCTTGTGAATGCTGGTCGGCACTGATCCTCTGTGCGGGCATCTCCCCGCTTTGCCCTCTGCACCCCTGTTGCTGCGTTCTCTGTGGCTCCGAAGCTCCCCCCCTCTGCCACCCGCAGTCTCTGCCGTGAAGGGCCTTCCTAGTGTGTGGAAACCTTTCCTCCTTCACAGCTCCCTCCCACTGGTGCAGGTGCCATCCCTATTCTTTTGTCTCTGTTTTTCCTCTTTTCTTTTGCCCTACCCAGGTACATGGGGAGTTTCTTGCCTTTTGGGAAACCTGAGATCTTCTGCCAGCGTTCAGTAGGTGTTCTGTAGGAGTTGTTCCACATGTAGTTGTAGTTTTGATATATTTCTGGGGAGGAAGGTGATCTCCACATCTTATTCCTCTGTCTTCTTGAAGGTCTAGCTCTATTCATTTATTTTGAGTTCTCTCTTTCATGTTGGAGAGTTTCCTTAACTGTCTGTTGAGGTTAAGAATGAGGCACTGAAGCCTGATAGGATGTTTTTCATGTGCAGGGAGCTTATCGGGACTCTGTTTCCATCAGTGGTTATCAGCTGAGGGGGAGTTTGTCCCCTGGGGCATTTGGCAAGGTCTGGAGCCATTTCTTGTTGTCGCAGCTGGTGAGATGCTCCCAGCCAGGAATGTTCCTAAGCACCCTGTGATGTACAGGACAGCCTCCCCTAACATATAGCTCTGGCCCCAAATGTCGGGAAGCCGTCCCTCATTTAGAAGAGACGAAAGCAATAGGATGGAGGCAATTGTTGGACATCATCTTTAGGGCTAGAAACAGGGGATCTCAAACCCCCTAGCTGGCCATGGCTAGCGCCAGCGTGTCTCAGGTCGTCAGCTGTAGATGTCAAATGGGGACAATGCACAGCTTCTCGTGGCCAGAACTCGGCTGAAATCCTTGCAGAGTCTTTTACCCCGTGCATATGTGAGCCTCCGATGCTTGCTGCCCTTGCCAACTGGGGCCTTCCCACACCTTCTGCTCCACAGACCTGTGTGTTTCCTCTCGGCCTGTCTTTAACTACCTCTTACGTTTGATGGGGACACAGGAGAGAGAAGCGTCCTGGTCTAGTCCTCTCACGATGGGCCTTTGTGTCCCTGTCCTGTTTTCCATCCTTTCCTGTGGAGGTGCCCCCCACCCCAGCGCCCCTGTCGGGTTGGGGAGGGCACTGAGGAGTCCAGAGTCAGAGGACATGTGGTGGAGACTTGAGCAACTACTTGTGTTACATTCACTCCACTGAGCGAGAGCTCTTACCAAACAGTGGCTGCTGCCTTCTTCTCGGGCAAGGACCTCTGCAAGGGGTGCTAAAGCCCACGGAATTTTTGTGTGGAGCTGCTTTTCTAATTCCTGATGTTACACATGTACACACACATGCACAAGCACACACATACACACACACGGATATAGTCATTCAATTATATGAACGATTCAACTGTGCAAAGCCTTTTTTAAGCAGCTTTAGTTCTGTCCCTGGAACACAATTAAAGCCACACTCTGCGGAGGCCAGGTCACTCCTTATTCCATGAAGCCTCTGGAATTAACACAGTGAAGTCGTCAGCAAACTTACTGGGTGAGCCTGTAGAGCACACATTCAAACGACAAATGATCAGCAATATAGAAATGCTCCCGGTTTGCCCCATCCTGTAAAATTGAACACTTTCCAATTCTCTATCAAAAACAAGAAAACAAAAATCCCAAACACTCAGAGCCCCTCAGAGCGTGGAACGCACTTTTTGGTCTCCTATTTTCTAGTTGTTGAGCTTAGTTTCATCGGGAGGAATTAAATTAGGATAACTGGCTGGCGCCTAGCTCTCCTCTTCAGCAGCTGTAACCATGACAACAGGATGCCCTCAGTAAGCACTTACACACACGAGGTACTTGGCTTAATCCTTAGGACAATCCTGCAGGGAATTCTGCTTTCTTCACGCTGCAGATGAAGAAACAAACTTTGACGGATAAGATAACTTTCCAGGGTAAACATGGAATCACAGGAGAGCTGCTATGGGGGCAAAGCTGGATCTTGTCCCCTTTGCTGCCACTGCTGCCCAGTGGGCAGGTACTTAGGGGGACAGGGCCACCTTCTCTGCTTGGAGCTGGGTTACTCCAGCCGTGTTTCTCACACATCCTTCCCTCTGTTGTTCGTTCTTTCTGGCTCCTGCTGTTGACTTAGCTGTGGTCTGCAACCTCACCCTCTATGATTTAACTGTTTTCTTTCCATTTACATGTAAGTATCAGCATTACAGGGACCATATAGGAAAGGTGGAGTTTGCACTCAGCAAATAAGTAGCAAATTTTGCGTGGAACGGAATTTGACTCTTCTGAATAAATTTTCTCATGAAGGAATTTATTTGCAAAGTCCCTGCCTTGGGAAGGATACGTTCTGTGCCCAGAGAAAAGTTGCCATGTCCTCGTTTCCGTGTCCTCAGGAGGGAAGCTGGGCCAGATGCTGAACCGCATGGGCACTGGACGCCTCCGCTCCCTGGGCTGCATCCTGGCCAACCTGACCTTCTGTGTCCTACTGACCCTCTTCCAGGGCCTGACCTGCCTGGAGGCGACCTCACAGGCCCTCATGCGGAAGAACAGCTTCTTGGCCAGTAAGTATTCAGTGAACACACATGCTCATAAAGGCAATATTTGCATATTTCTCCCCAAACGTGTCTCATCACCGACAGAAAACAGTGCTTTCTGGGTAAAACGAACAAAGCAGAACTGGTCCCCTTGAGCTGGTGAAAAGATGGGCCTCATAGGTCATCCGAGGCCGAGTGCTATTCCCTGCATCCATGTTTACCAGTTTACGGGACTAGTTTACCAGTTTATGGTTAAATCTCATGTGATAGGTTATATTTTTCTTGATTAAAGCTGTACTCTGATTTCTTCCATCCCTTTTATTTTTATCAGGTATATCTGGATGTCCTAGGGTCATGGGAGAAGAGACAGTGGCCAGTTCAAGTCTTTCGATCAGTTGTTCACTTATTCAACATAAATATGATGTATTCCTTTTGAATAAACAGTGAATTGTTTTTATTTGGCTTTGTATTAGTTTGCTAAGGCTGCTGTGACAAAGAATTGAAGACTAAGTGGCTTAAACAGCATAAATTTATTTTCTCATAATTCTGGAGTCCAAGTGTGGGCAGGCCTGCCTCCCCTCGAGGCCTCTGTCCTTGACGTATGGACGGCTGTCTGCTCCCTCATCTTCCCTCTGTGCATGTCTGTGTCGGCACTTCCCCGTCTTCTAAGTACACCAGTCATGCTGGATTAGAGCACATCCTGTGACCTCATTTTCAGTTGGTCACCTCTGTAAAGACTCAATCTCCCAATAAGGTCACATGGTGAAGTGCTAGGGGTGAGGACTTCAACTTAGGAATTTTGGGAGGGCAGAATTCAGCCCACAAGCAGCTTTGTATATGAAATGCGAAGAATTCCTGTGGCAGAACACAGAATCCAAAGACATCGGTTCTTAGGGACATCTGTAATCACAGACAAGGAAACCCTATTATTTGTGCAGCCTCATGTAATTTTTCTAGTCCTGCAAAAATGCAAAACAAGTAATTTCTTTGTATTAATGACACCACCATGTGGTTTTGTTAAAATGAAAAAGAGTATTTTTAATTTTAGGAGGGAGTTGGGAATTGGGAGGCCTTAGTGCTACCTCACCGCCGAGGACTTGTGTCACACAGAAAATCAGCCTCCCCTCCCTGGGGTGTGGCCCTTTCTCAGCGGAGGCGCTGAGCTGAGTGTCCTGGGGCGTCCGGTCAGACCCATGCTGATGTGGTGTGAGCCGCTCCTAGGTTGTGCTGACCCCTTGTTTGTCCTTTTCTGACCTTAGGTATCATTTTTAACAGTTCCTCAGCAGGTAAGAACCTCAGCTCAGAATCTCTCCAGCTGCCACCCCAGGTTACGTACAGCATCCGGACCAGCATTTTGTACAGCTTGAGGACGGATCTGGTGAAAAACCCTTTCTGGAAGTTCCACCCTCAGAGCCTCCCAGCCGATGGGTTCAAGTATAACTACATCTTTGTCCCATTGCAAGACATGATCGAAAGAGCTATCATCTCAGTGCAGACGGGGCAGGAGGCCCTGAACCCGGCCGTGCAGGTGCAGGCCATCCCGTACCCGTGTCACACCAGCCACCTGTGAGTACCCAGTGGGACTGAGCTCCTGAGGGCCTCTGACAGTGGGAGAGGCCCTGCGTTTGGAAACCAGGTGGAGAAAAATCCTGGAGCTTTTGTATAGCCATTCCACCAAAGAGCATTTGGAGACGATCCATTCTCCTTTTTAATTTCCTAAGGCTGAGCCACCCAGATAGAACAGTTGTGGAGATAATGTGGTCAGTTAGATTTGACACTAGGCATCTGTAGCTTCAGACACCCTTGAGAATAAATTTGACGAATAATATTCACGGGGGATTCCTCCCATCTGAACTAGGGAATCAGAGGAAGCTTATTTCCTCTTCAGCACAAATCCTTACAGTTTGGGCCTGTGCCACCCACATGCAGGGATGGAGGGATTCCCAGAGGCCTGGGGCAGGTGACCTCGTAGGTCGGGTCATCCGAGAACACTCACGAGTTGAAGTGGGTGATTCAGCGGGTGACTGCAGCTCCGACACTCTCCGGGTGAGAGTGAGGGGAAGCTCAGTCGAAGGGACTCGGGGCAGCGCTCACCCTGGGGACGTCCTTCCGTGTAAGACGCTTTGGAGCCGAGACCCGGGCAATGTTCCGGGCAGTGCTGTGTTCAGAGAGGGGTGCATTCACGAGCCCCCTCCTCCCTGACTTTCCCCAACGGGTCAGCAAGCAGGACTGGGCAAGAGGAGGATGACAGGGTGCTGGGGAGCTGCACCCTTCTGTGCGTGACTCCGGCACAGGCTGGTGGGAGGACACAGCCCAGACGTGAACCTGAGGGTCCCTGATTCACCCCTTCCCGTGCTGGGAAGGACCTGCATCAGCCCGCTGGCCCGAGGTTCGGGGTGGGGGGAAAGCTTCGGTCCTTCTCAGCAGTACCCCCCGCCCGCATTGTCCTGGGCCTGGGATCAGGGTCCTGGGGGCAGGGGGTGGATGGAGGGAGAAGGGCAGGAGGCAGAGCTGGGGTGACGTGGGGAAAGGCTGGGGGTTGGCCACCACCCTGCACTGGCACCGGAGTCATGCATCTCAAGAGACAAAAACAAAAGCTGAGCCTTTTGTTTTTTTTTAGATTCCATATGTACGTGTTAGTGTATGGTATTTGTCTTTCTCTTTCTGACTTACTTCATTCTGTATGACAGACTCTAGGTCCATCCACCTCACTACAAATAACTCAATTTCGTTTCTTTTTATGGCTGAGTAATATTCCATTGTATATATGTGCCACATCTTCTTTATCCATTCATCTGTCAGTGGACGCTTAGGTTGCTTCCATGTACTGGCTATTGTAAATAGAGCTGCAGTGAACATTGTGGTACATGACTCTTTTTGAATTATGGTTTTCTCAGGGTATATGCCCAGTAGTGGGATTGCTGGGTAAAATGGATCTGAGGAACCTAGGGGCAGGACAGGAATAAAGACACAGATGTAGAGAATGGACTTGAGTACATGGGGAGGGGGAAGGGTAAGCTGTGACAAAGTGAGAGAGTGGCATGGACATATATACACTACCAAACATAAGGTAGATAGCTAGTGGGAAGCAGTCGCATAGCACAGGGAGATCAGCTCGGTGCTTTGTGACCACCTAGAGGGGTGGGAGAGGGAGGGTGAGAGGGAGACGCAAGAGGGAGGAGATATGGGAACATATGTATATGTATAGCCGATTCACTTTGTTATAAAGCAGAAACTAACACTCCATTGTAAAGCAATTCTACTCCAATAAAGATGTTAAAAAAAAAAAGCTGATTTCTCCACGTGGCTGTCCCTATATATGGGATTTTGATCCAACAGGCTCATCCTTTTCTGTCTGATGTTGCTAATGGAGACAAGCCACTGAGGAACACTGTTAATAAGAGTTATTAAAATGCAAGTCAGGGATTTGCCACCTTCAGAAAAAGACGTGGAGACAACGAAATGTTTATGAAGATCAGAGTAACCTTTTAAAAAGGTTTAAACAAATGAGAACGTTGGATTTCCTAATTTCCAAGTTTATTGACGGGCTTCTGTTTGGGTTCCAGAGTAGGGATAAATACACGGAAGAATCTGGAGCACATTTGTCTGATCCATGCTGACCTGATAATAGGGCGGTGACAGACAGTCCTATCTCTGAGGTCACTTAGACATCCTGGATTTAATATGTTTCTCCTTTCATTGTTAGTTTTGTAAACAAATGGTTATCAAAAGTTGAGAAAGTAGAGAAAAAAGGCGTACTTCATATCCTCTTCTAAAGCATCAGTTGTTGTTTGTTTGTTTGTTTGTTTGGTGACCTTGAACTCATGACATCTTGCTGAGAGAGAAAGTTTTTGTGCTGTTTTTTCATTTGAAGCCATTTATGGAGCATTTGCTATGTGTCATGTATGCACGTGACTGTCATAATTGGTGGTGAAAAAGGTGTTGTCCTTGCCTTCTGGAAGCTTGCAGACCAGGGGTTACCAGGACCGTATGAGCCTGGAGAACCGCAGTCACCCTCCCCTGTGGGATTCCCCAGGGATGAGAGTCACAGGACCTCTTGCCGCCCAGTTGGGAAGTTGGTGGAGGGGCACACGCGTCCACGTCAGACACCAGTCTCTTCCCTAAGGTCCGGGGGAGGATTTGAGGTCGAGCAGAGCACTCGTGTTCCTCTCCCTCTCCCTCATCCCCTCCTTCTGTGGTTAGTCTGCCTTCAACATGCTTCCTCCTTCTGCATTTTAAAAATTCACTTGGTGCACACATAGTTTCATTATTTTCTTGTTCCGTTGATACTTTTTTCAAAGGACCACACATGGACTTTATTTATCAATTCTCTTTTTTTGTCTTTTCTAACTTACTTGTTCTGTCTTTATTTTTATTACTTCCTTACTTTTATATACCTTCAATGTGTTATGCTGTTTCTCTGATACCTGAGACCCATGTTTGATACATTATTTTTAGTGTATTTCTCCTTTAATGTGTGTAGTGACCTAAGGTGATGACTTTTCTCTTCAATCATTATTTCAACTATGTCCCATGGATCTGATATACGACTAAAAGTTCATTGTTTTCTAGACACTTGCAATATGGGTTTCTGCTGTCTTCTTGACCCAAGAGCTGTTTAAGTGTCTTTTAATTCCCAAGTGGAAATTCTCAGGAATTTTAAGCATGTGAAGTTACTCAGCTTACTTATAGTAAGAAAAATTCAAATTAAAACTAGTCTGCGACAGCATTTTAAAAATCAGATTGACAAAATCCAAAAATTGCATCATACCCTGAATTGCCAAATACCGCTAATAAATCCTAATTTGTACATTGCCATCAGAAAATACTGTGTTTATCATTTCCACTTTTTGAATTTATGGCATTTTTCTCTGTCAACTATTATATAATCAACTTTTGTGAATGATTTATGGGCGCTTGAAAAGAAATTTTGGATTTCCTATTTTTATAGTACAGAATGTATCCACATTAACTTTGTTGTTTAGGAATTCTCTGTCCTTATTTGTGTCCACTTCATCTGTGCTGAGCTAAGGTAGATAACCTGTAGTCTCCTGTTACTGGGACATCCCCTTGCTTTTTCCTCTGGTGTTGGCCTTTCGAATCTTGGGGCTGAGTCACTTTGTGCAGAGCCATGAGTAATTGTGTTCTGGGTCTTCCTTAATGCTTTGTGGACGTAATTCTACCTTGTATAAAATTAAATTAATGACCTCTGCTTTTTCCCCCCTTTCTTCTCTTTCTCTGGATTCACAGTTTGCTTGCCATGCCTTTGCCCATCCTTGCATTTTAAACTTTTCTGAAGGGTCTTGTCTTAGGCGTGTCTCTTATGTGCATCACATAGCTTCATACACAGGGGAGGTTAGCTGTTTAACAGTATGAAATGGAATTTCAGGTATATATGGTCTTAGTTATGTAATATATTTTTCTATACTTATACCATTATTTAGGAATGTTCTGCTGTTGTTCTAGTGGTTCCCTTATAGTTATAACTTTGTACAAATAATATCAACCCTTTCTTTCTTTTTTTTTTACCATGACCAATAAAAAAAAATGTAATTTCTCTTCTTCCATCACATCTTTTTTATCATGCAATTTTAGTTAACATTATTATCTCAGTGTCCTCCTTTGTACGTTAAAGATGCCTATACTTATATTCTACATTTGTCAGCGTTAAATAGCCTTTGATTTTGGCATTTACCAACTCATTCTTCCTCTTTGAAGAATTTCCCCAACCTTCCAATTTTTGTTTGTTGTATCATTTTTACATTTCAGGGAACAAAACATTTCCAATATGTCTTGTCATCTTATTTTTCATTTTTGTTTTAGTCTTATTTTTACTGGAAGTAAATCCACTTCTTACCATTATTCTTTCACTGTGATTTACCAGTCACCCCTCTGTGGGCTGGTTTGTCTTCTAGTAATTTCCTTAAGAAGATCTCATGAGACAATTTAACCCAAGTTCTTACATACTTAAAATTCTTTGCAGCATTTATATTTGAAAGACAGCTTGGCTGGACATGAAATCCTGGGCTCAGTCTTTCCTTGAGTATCTTGTAGGAATAGCTCCATTATCTTTGGCTTTCAGTGTTAGTATAAAGAAATCTGAGGCCACCTTGATATTTTCACTCTTTTATCTGACTTGATAATTTTGACAAATTGCTAATAACTTGAAAATTCAATAATTTACTAGGATACACTTAATTGTTGACCATTCTAGGACAGTTTTCCAAGGCACAGGATGAGTTCTTTCAATGTGTAAGACTTAAGCTTTTTTTTTTTTTTTTTTTTTAATGGAAACTCTTGGTGTGTTCTAGCATTACAAATTTATTCTCTTCCAGTATTTGGTTTTTCTTCTTAAGGGAATCCAGTTGCATGACTTCCCCCCTGTGTTTCTTATCAACAAAATCCCCTTAATTCTATTAAGCTCCTTCTTTCTTTCTGTCCCTTCAGCTGCGTTCTCATGTGTGTTTTATGGCTCTCACTGGGTGTGTGCAGCGTCGTTTGCCGTTGTTGTGCCCCTCGTCCTGTCTCTATCCATCTGGCGGCTATCTTCCACCTTCTGTTTCTCCCCAGCCTCTTCCAGCTCACATTCCGTGTCTTCCTGCCACCTCAGCATCTCATCACTGAACCGTAACACTCCTGTGGTATGGTGTTTTTATAGGGGATTGCCTTAGTAAATAGTTTTAAACTGGTGGCAGAGATGTTGGCTATTTTCACCTGTTTCACGTCACCATCTTTTTGGCATGTGTTCTTCATTTGTTAATAATTCTGAGACTCTCAACCTACTTTTATTTCTCATGTGGCTGTCGTGCTAGATTTCTGTTGCTGTTGTTACTCATCTTGAATGACTCGGGTCTTCCTGGCCAGTTGTTTGCAAGGGGTTCCAGCTAGTGGTGAGGACCAGGGACATGAATACCCCCAGAGCTCAAAGACTCTCTCCCATGGCCACGAAGACTGAGTGCTTCCTGCACATACACATACTCTGCACATAACCCTCCTCCTCTGTCTCCCTGGAGACCCTCTCCAGGTGGGAGTGGCTCCTGACACCACCCAGTTTAACAGGCAGCGGACACCCACTTAACACCTGCTGTTCTCTGTACTGTGCCCCCAGAGTGCCCCTGGCCTTTAGGAAGTGTAGTGATTTTTTTTAAACAACAGACGTTTATTTCTCACTGTTCCAGAGGTCCAGGGGCTAGTAGGTTTGGTTTATAACGAGGGCCCTTTCTCAGGTGTGAAGACTTCCTGCTGTGTCCTCAGAGGGTGGAGAGAGTGACAGCTCTCTGGTCTGTCTTCCTCTGCTTCTGAGGATGCCAGCATCATCCTGGGACCCCATCCTCATCACCTCATCACAACCTAATGATCCCCCAAAGGCCCCACCTCCAGATACCATCCCTTTGGGGGGTTAGGGTTTCAACACACGAATTTGGGGGTGACACATTCAGTCCATAACAGAGACATAGGAGATGCGGGAACATAGAGATAGTCCCTCTGGAACAGAGAGAGTCACTTCTGTGGCTACTTCCTTAAGTATAGTTTTTATGGCACATTCTAGACCTCCAGAGGGTGGGGTTTTGCTGCTGACGCCTCTCGTCTCTACTTTTTTGTGTGACTCCTATATGAGCTTGATTATTTTTAGCAGCTTTTTCAAATGCTTGGCCATCTCTTCCCAAACACGTATCAGAATTGCAGTGGCAGTTTTTCCTTCTCTTGTTGATTTGGACTCGTTTCCAGGAGCAGGTTAGGAAGGGCCTGAGTTATACACCATGTACTGTAACTTCTCTTCTGCAGTTTCTTATTCTCTTTAATTTGTACTAAGTGGCCTCACTCAGACAGGTATGTGCAGAGCGCCCAGATTCTCTGGGTCCGGGTTGGTTGCTCCAAGGACCCCAGAGTCGGGCTCATGCGATACCAGGCCCCACACGACTCTCTCCTTTACAGACATAGAGGAGGGCCTCTGTGTCTGTAAAGTTTCCTCGTGCTCTGTGAGTTTGCACACCTATAAATCAGGACGCCCGACAGCGGTTCTGCCCCAGGCACAGGGTCTGACAGGTCTTGGTCCTGAGCGAGCCCTGGGGCCGTAAGGACAGCGGGACGAAGCGTGGGAGCAGGACTCACCGTGAGCATCTTGGGGCGGTGGTGGATGCTGACCGCACTGTCCCCACAGGTTCTTGAACAGCGTCGGCTCCTTCTTCCCGCTGATAGCGATGCTCACGTGGATGGTGTCCGTGGCCAGCGTGGTCCGCAGGCTGCTTTACGAGCGGGAGATCCAGCTGGAGGAGGTGAACAGCCTGGGGGACGGGGGGGGGCGTTGGGGGGTTGGGGGTTGACGGCTGCCCCGTCACGGACGGGACGCCGCGTGCGCTTGGTTGGGTCCCGCCATCCCAGGAGACTCGCTCTGCATGGAAGCCCAGGGCCCTGGCAGAGCTGCACAGGTGACACGTCTAGTCCATCCAGGACAGGAAAGGAGGCTGAGGACGGGCCCACGAGAGTCCCTCACTCAGCAGTGTTTACGCAACCCAGACAAACACACGGACGGAATTCCTGTCTTTGTTTACGGCTGGAATTCTTTATTTACAGCTTTGCTGTTTTTGTCCCAGTGTTGTTAAAACTTGAAACTATCAAAACTGCTTTTAAGAATGAAAGTTCATAAAAGCGCCTGGTAAAGACCTGCCTTCCCGTTCAGCCGGGCAGACACGCCGGCACATGGTATCCACTCATTTATTAAAGCAAAGGAAAAGTGCAGAGAGTCATTCAGTTTCGACTAGAGTTGCACTGTTGTACTGCGTGTTGTTCACCTGTGTAGCACGAATGCATTCCTAGATTTCTGTGTTTCTTCCCCATCCAGCTGGGTCCCAGGTGTAAGGCCTAGGACTGGGCATTGGTGGTGCTGAGCTCCCTGCCCGGGGCCGCCAGCGTGGGGCGTGCATATGAATTGCTCTCACTGCCAAGTAACCAGCCCTACACCCTGGTGTATCACCACGTTACAGGTGAGCAAGCAGTCGTTTCAGTGGACGGATTAATTTTAGTGTTATTACTTCAAACTGAATTACTTTGCAAAACACATTCTAGAACCTGAGCAGTCACCCCCGAAGTGAAGAGCTTAAGGCCCAGTGTTTCCCCCTTCATTTTTCTCTTTGTTGTTATTAAACAAAACCAACACAAACCAAATGACAAAAAAAAGAGGGAACAAAACTGACAAAAGCTCTATAAACCAGGAAAGGCAGCGAGTCTGCGGCCAGTCAGGCTGGGGTCTGGGGTCTCTCCCCTTTGCAGCTGCCTTCTCACAGCTGTGAGGTTGTTCTCAGGCCACCTCGTCCCCCTTCTTCCCCTCCGCATGGCCAGCGACCTGCTCTGCAGGGGGTTCATTCGCATCAATGGCTGACTCTGGAGGAAGCGTCCAGCGCGGCGTCTCCGAGGCCGTGTTTCCACACTGGCGGCCACAGGGAGGGATGAGCTCCGGCTCGCCTGTTCCCCCGGCCGCACCTGCCCTGTCCTCTCTCAACCCCGTGATGACTGGTCCTCCCTGTGTGGACAGTATGTGAAGATGATGGGCCTGCCCCCCGCCGTCCACTTGCTGGCCCGGCTCCCGGAGCACGGGGCCAAGCTGCCGGTGAGCCGTGCCGCCCTGGCCCTCATCCTTGGGGTCAGTGGCGTCTTCACCTCCAGCAGCACCTGGATGGCGTCCTCTTCCTCCTGGACTCCGGGGTGTCGGTGGTCACACTGAGCTACCTCCTGAGCGCATCCTTCGGCCGGGCGAGCTCGGCCGCCCTGTGCAGCAGCCTGCCCTGTGCGGCCAGCTTCCTGCCCTACATCGTGCCGGCCTGCAGGCCTCCCTCGTCGGTGCGTTGTTTTGTGAAACTGCAGAGCAAGGCTGCTGTGTACCCCGCAGCACGTTTCAGTGCATCACTGTCAGGTGTGTGGGCTTCCCCGTCTCTGCGGTGTGTACTCCACCCTCAGCTGCAGCCTTGCGGTGGTGGGTTCACTGACACCACGGAGGGTTTGCTGAAGGGCGGGCCATGAAAAACTGGTGTTTTTCATGGAATAGGGACTCTCCTCTGAAGACTCTTGGAGAAATCGGGAGCATCCTAAAGGAAGCGCATGACTTCAGTTTCTCTTTGTTTCACACATGGAAGGAAACAGATCTCCAAAGCTATTTTAGAAGTAAAAAATAAGCTTTTTTTTTTGGAAGCATCATGAATTACATCACATTAACTGGAAAGATCTCTCCGTTGGCAGTGTCAGAGTCCCCTATCCATTTAGAATGTACCTCCCCAAAAGCATTAGAATATGTCCAAGTCTGTGCTATAAATACGTAGAAGACAGAAACTCATCCATTCTTGGTGACTGTTACCTGGTGAGCTCAGTGCCAACACACAGTAGGGTCACACAGTACACAGCACTGGGCACACAGTAGGGACACAGAGTACACAGCACTAGGACACACAGTAGGGACACAGTACACAGCACTGGGACACACAGTAGGGACACAGAGTACACAGCACTAGGACACACAGTAGGGACACAGTACACAGCACTGGGACACACAATAGGGACACACAGTACACAGCACTAGGACACCCAGTAGGGACACAGTACCCAACACTGGCACACAGTAGGGTCAGCACTGGGACACACAGTAGGGCCAGCACTGGGTCACACAGCAGGGACACAGTACACAGCACTGGAACACAGTACACAGCACTGGGACACACAGCAGGGACACACAGTACATTGGAAGGGATGGTGGAGCACGTCTCAGGGCCTGCGTCACAGGCCTGTCATCACGTAAACATCCCTGAGCTCAAGGGCAGGGCACGTCCTCATGGCACCCTGTGGGGAGTGTGATTGGAGTCCCTGAGGGAGAATCTGGGGTGGGACCAGGTGGGAGAAGTCAGAGAGAGAGAGACAGTCGCTGTATGTTTTCACTTAAAGGCGGAATCTAGAATATCCAGCAGATGACCGAATATAGCAAAACAGAAGCCGACTCACAGATACAGAGAGCAAACTAGTGGGTACGAGGGAGTGGTGGAGGGAGGGGCACGATAGGGTAGGGAGTGAGAGGTGCAAAGTACTAGGTATGAAATAAATGTTCCGAGGATGTGACGTGCAGGGCAGGGAATATAGCCACTATTTTATTGTAACTTTATGTGGAAGATAATCTATGAAAACGTCGAATCACTATGTTGTTCACTTGGACTAACGACTATACCTCCGTTATTAGAACAAAGCCGCCCAGGGTTGCCAGGGGGCCCCTGAGGCCTTCAGAGGTCACCTGTCCTGGGCCAGTCAGCCTCACTGCTGTGGGTGGGGTGAAGGTCTCTGCTCATTTCGGGCCTTGGGGTGAAATGCTTCCCTGAAAGCCAAATTCCTCTTCTCCAGCACCAGTAAACCCTTCAGTCCACCCTGGTTTCCACGGCTCGACTCGTATGCCTAGATTTGCACGATATTCATCAGTATGTTATCCAGTTTGCGTTAGTTTATGTCACACCGGTAGTCAGTAATTTTGTGTGTTGATTGGATGTTTTCAGAATAATGAAAACAACTGGGACCACTCAGTGCCCCCACCAGGTATTCCTTACATACAGAAAAAGAGCCACTGACCACCCGGCCTGAATTTCAACAGATGTTTTTTATTTCAATCCTTAGATTTAAGGTTTTATGTCTACAAAGTCTGATTTCCTTTTTACATGTTGAAATGGTTTCTAGCCAACAAAGGATCTAACTCTGGTACATTACATTTTTAAACGTAAGATACTTTTTCAATGAGCTTCCTTTTTTTTAAACACCAGACCTCCCCGCTGGAAATGAAATCACATTTTCCTCCAATGCGCCCTCTTCTCGTGTGCAGTCTCCATCAGTCTGCCTGCAGTGTGCTCCAGGGCATTCACTTAATAAAAATACATAGGAAATTGCTCTATTCCATTTGCCGCTGTTTTGTGTTATACATTTCTGTGTACAGTGCATTGGATTTACCACACTTCAAGCACTGCAGTAAAGAGCGATAATTCCTTTTAACATTAAAAACTGTCTTGTTATTATGCTTTTCGGAGCAGGCTGACGCGCGGCCCAGTCTTGGGCTCAGATGTGGAGTGGCCGCCTGGAGCGATGGTTTGGCATCATTAAGAGCTTGAATGGGTTTCGTTATTTGAACTTAGGGCTGTGGACTTCCTATGGCCCAATCGGGCACTAACTTGCAGTTTTTCTCTTCTGCCCCTCCATCTGCAAGCAGTACCTCCTCTCCACAACTGCCTTCGGACAAGGAGTACTTTTGGTTACATTCCTGGAAGGGCAAGAGGCAGGTAAGAGGATGCAGTTTTTAAAAATGTGACTCAGGTTTTTGGAAATTTAGTTATCGTGTTGCAAGCGATACAGTAGAGAGCATTAGTTACAAAGCGGAAGGTTTGGAAGGAGATCCTTGCGTTGGTTTAGCTGATGTAAACCCTTCCCTCCATCCAGTTACCCTGGTTTTAGGAACAAGGACAATCCTGGCCTCCTGTGCTCCAGGTCGGCCGCCCAACCAGTGCCTGGGGCTACCCCGTGACACCCCTGAAACACACTTGGTCAATTAGTGACCCTCGGAATTCTCCCCTGAACGGGCCGTGCAGGGTCTCGTCTCTTAGACAGTTATTGAGCTGCAGTCTGTCTTCCTGGATTTCCTGCCCACTGTTCCTGGTTTCTCTTTCTAACCACCTCTTTCACATGACAGCTGTTTATTTACCTCCAGGGTTTCTGGATCCTTCTTGAAGCCATGATCCAGAAGGAGATCTAACCAGCATAGAGCAGTTATCTCTCCTCTTTTCTCTGTATTTTATTCCTATTAATTCAGCCTACAATAATTAAAAAAAAAATTTGTTGGCAACGTTTTTCACTTATATTGAGATTTTGTCAACTAAAACCCTAGACCAGAACAGACACATATTTCTTAGATGTTTAATATAGTTTTTTTGTGGTGTGTTTTTGAAAACACAGGGAAAACATATGCCATATATGAAACTGAACTCCAGATAGCATTACATTAGCTCATTAATTTGTGCCAGTCTTGAAATTCTCTGACTTTTCTGTAAAACATGTTGAACTGTTCTGAACTATACTACACTAAAGATGTATTAAAACAGATGAGTAATCCTGAAATGACCTATCCTGAATTCTTCAAACTGATTTTTAAACAAAATTGGATCATAAGGATATGGCAGAAAAATGGTCACTGTTAGATTCTTTGAATATTTTGGACCAAATTCCAACAAGTACACAATGTTAAAACATTTATTTTATCGAGTTCTAGGTTAGTACCATAGGAAAATTGAGAAAGATGAATATTTTCCTTAAAACAAATTATATTTTAATCCAGCAATAACTTGCAAACATATTGTAGTAAGAGAATGATTCTTTCCTATTGCAGATCCTATATATCCTGTTTATATGTTTTCCAAGAGCGAGAAGAATAGTATAATTTAGAGTTTGGGTTCTCAAGGAGCCGTCATCTTTTTTTAAAACATGCTTATTTTCCCTAAATATAGATTGTTTTAGTTAAGCAAGTAATATATATAGTGTATATATATATATGTATATATATACATATATATATACATATATATATATACTATATAGATAGTATATAGATATAAGTAAGGCAAACTTTAAACTTTTTAAAATGTTAGGTATTCAGGCATTGATAATGGTCACCCATCTGCTGTCCCTGAATCAGGGTGAGATGAAGCTAACATTTCACAGGAGGTACAGGGCCCATGGCCTTGACCTTCCTTTTGTTTTAGTTGTGCTCAGCTTGGCCTCCAGAACTGATGAATTCACCTCACCAAAGTCTGCCTGAAGGAGGATGAGCGGTTCTGACTCTGACCTTCCTCTTCCTTCCAGGGCTTCAGTGGGATAATAGGTACCAGTCTGTGGAACTAGTGGGCATGACACTTGGCTGGGTTTGCTGGATGATTTTCTTTGATTCAGGCCTTTACTTCTTATGTGGATGGTACTTGAACAACTTGATTCCTGGTAAGAATTCTGCACTTTATAAGATGACAAAATCAACTTAAAAAACAGTGTGAACCGATGTATGTGAACATTAAGATCATTATTTATTCTTTAAATAAGACATCAGAAAGGGAGTTGATAGGATGTGTTTTATTTTATTTTTTTTAAAATTTATTTATTTAATTAATTTATTTATTTTTGGCTGCATTGGGTCTTCATTGCTGCATGCGGGCTTTCTCTAGTTGCGGCGAGCGGGGGCTGCTCTTCGTTGCGGTGCACAGGCTTCTCATTGTGGTGGCTTCTCTTGTTGCGGAGCACGGGCTCTAGGCATGCAGGCTTCAGTAGTTGTGGCATGTGGGCTCAGTAGTTGCGGCACACAGACCCTAGAGCACAGCCTCAGTAGTTGTGGCATGTGGACTCAGTAGTTGTGGCGTGTGGGCTCAGTAGTTGTGGTGTGTGGGCTCAGTAGTTGTGGCGTGTGAGCTCAGTAGTTGTGGCTCGCGAGCTCTAGAGCACAGGCTCAGTAGTTGTGGCGCACGGGCTTAGTTGCTCCACGGCATGTGGGATCTTCCCGGACCAGGTCTCGAACCTGTGTCCCCTGCACTGGCAGGAGGACTCTTAACCACTGCACCACCAGGGAAGCCCAGGCCGTGTTTTAAAGGGAGCTGTGGATGCTTGAGGAAAAGGTGGTGCTTCTGAATCCTGACAGCACCGACCCTGTGAGGACAGGTGCTGGAGGGGCCCACTGAGCTCACCACGCAGCTCCCCAGCAGGGGCCTCCTGAAGACGGAACAGCAGACACCCTGATTCCCCAGATCCTGTGTCTGAGGAACCCGGGGGTGAGGAGGTGAGGGCAGGAGAGTCTGGGCCCCTGGAGGTCGAGGTCAGGGGTTCAGAGAGTGCCATGCAGCAGCAATGAAAGGACCTCATTCTCAGCCAGGTCAGCGGGTGGCAGAACCTGGAGGGAAGCTGGGCTGGGAACGAGGCAGCTGAGTGGGGGGGTGGGGGTCGGCAGCCCCTCCAAACCAGAGCGTCAGCGGCGTCCTGTGTGGAGGTGGTGAAGGGCCTTGTTCTTGTAGAATTGTTTTTAATCTTTATTTTATCATTATTATTATTTTTTTAACCGTGCCACATGGCATGTGGGATCTTAGTTCTCCCACCAGGGATTGAACCCGCCCCCCCGCTTTGCAGTGGAAGTGAGGAGTCTTAGCCACTTGACCGCCAGGGAAGTCCTGAATTTTTTTATTTTTTAAAGACTCTTAGTTCCCTCTCCTCTTCTACCTGGATCATTTCTAGATTTTTATCTCTGGGCTCAGTAATTCTTCCGTGTGCTCTATTTCCAGAGCTTCCTATTGCATTCCTCCTCGCATTTACTGAGTTCCTCAGCTCCAGAATTTCTGTTTGGTTCTTTTTTAGAGTTTCAGTCTCTTTGGCAAAGTATTATTTCTGTTCATTAATTTTATTCCTGAGCTCATTAAACTGCCTTTCTGAGTCTTCTTACAGCTCGTGGAGTTTCTTCTTGACAGCTATCTTGCATTCTCTATCAGTGAGATCACAAACTCCTGTGACTTTAAGTCTGGTTTCTGGAGAATTGTCACTTTTCTCTCTGTGCTGTCATGTTATGTTTTTTGTGGAGCTGGATGAATTTCTCCTCTGCTGGCACACTTGAGGTAGTGAACACCTTTCTTATTTTGGTAAAGCATGTTTTAACTTTGATTCTAACAGTTCCACAGATTGGTGATTAGAGGCCCTTTTTTGTTTTTTCAGTAGGTGGTGCTGTAGCTCAAGGTTTTGGTTTCTCTTATCTGAGCAGCCCCGGGCTGCATCTGAGACTCAGAACTTCCCACCCCTCCACGGCCTCTGCCAGAGGTGTCCCCACTGCCCCTGTTCCTGCTCTTTGCGTCTCTGGAGTCCTGGTTCCTTCTGCCACGGGCATTGCCACCGGGGGGCACCAGGTTGGAGGATGCCTCCCCTGCATCCCAGGTGGTCTGGCATGGTGGGGGGGGGAGGGAGGGGCCTGGGTGGCAGGCGTCTCCCCCAGGTCTGGGGTTGTCAGACGGGGTGGCTGGAGTCATGGGTGCCACCGTGGCTGGAGGACCCGGGGTTGTCGGCGCTGTTCTGTGGCTGTGGGTGCTTCTGTGCTGCGAGCCTGGGATCCTGTGCCCCACCTCCCAGGTGCTGTGGTTCTCCGGGCTGTGGGCTCAGGTGTTGTGGCCCCGGTGGGGACGGGGATCGCAGGCCCCGCCTCCTCTATACCTTCAGGCAGGCAGGTGTGAGGGTCTCTCCAGGGTCCTGGTGTACTGGGCAGAAGAACCTTTGCTGAGTCGTGGGTGTTTTACGAATTGCACATTGAAGGGGGTGGACAGAGGGAGCATCTCATGCCCCCGTGGTGCTGACCTTGAATCAAAGTTGGCATTTTTAATCAAGGAGAAAAGATACATAATTCAGTCAATCTATTAGGGAGAAAATGTTTTGCTCATTCATAAATTCATCAAAATAAGTAGCATTAAAAATAATGAAGAAATAGGAAAAGTATGATTTTAAAGAGAGGGAAGGGGCTTCCCTGGTGGCGCAGTGGTTGAGAGTCCGCCTGCCGATGCAGGGGACGCGGGTTCGTGCCCCCGTCCAGGAGGATCCCACATGCCGCGGAGCGGCTGGGCCCGTGAGCCGTGGCCGCTGGGCCTGCGCGTCCGGAGCCTGTGCTACGCAGCGGGAGAGGCCACAACAGTGAGAGGCCAGCGTACCTCAAAAAAAGAGTTTAGTCCACCATCTTCTCCGTCTGCTGGCTTTCCGAATAAAGTCGATATTACTCGCCCCAACAACAACAAAAAAAAAAAAAAAAAAAAAAAAGAGAGGGAAGGCCTTTCAAAACATCATGCCAAGGACATAAGCAATAAAAATCACTAGTTTTCATTATAAGAATTTAAATTAATATTTCAAAGTTTCCAAAGAAAAATGACAATATGCTTTGCAAAGTTATGAAAGAAAATTGAAATTCTCAGGTCAAAGTTTAAAAACATAATTCTCAGTGGAAATTCTAGCAAATAACTTGAACCAATCATTTATTAAAAAGTAAAGTTTAGTGAATTTATAAAAAGGTTTAATGAGCACGCAGGAGCCTAAATTTGCACATACATAGAAGACAATTTTTTCTTCTCTATGATAAAAATTACAATAACTAGTGCAGGAGATAGACTATAAAAATTGACTATATGTTTTGTTTTTTGTTTTCTCAGAAGGCTAAATAATTTAAGAGGAGGAAAAGATTGGAGGGGTGGTCGTGCATACAACAGCGTAGAAGGGAGAGAGACATGTTTTCGGAGCAAAGCAGCCTGGTGTTGGCCGAAAGAGTTTACTTCAGCGGTTTTGTCGATGAAATGCTCTTTCTTCCCACTCTTCCTTTAAAAAGTGTGAGAGGCTTGGTTCTGTCTTCCCGGAGGAACTGAAAGAACAGACCCTTGAGTGAAATGTGGACGTGCTGCGAGCAGGTATCTTTCGAAAGGTGACGATGTGCCCTGGAGGCGAGATGGACCGCACATGTGCGCTGAGATCCACCGGTTTTGAGCTGGTCCTGTCTGCTCGGCGCTCCCGCCCGGCTCCTGAGAACTCACGTGTGTGTTCCCCCTCTCCTCTCATCCCGGTCTGTGCCCGTCCCCCCACCTCCTGGCTCTGCTTCCTGCTCCAATGATGAGTTTGCATGTTGGGCTTGTAGAGAGATGTGGTCCTTCTTGTTTGGACCTCCGGATCTCCTCAGAATGAGGTTTTCACTAATTTTCCAAGTTTTGCTGCTTCTGGCAACTCTGGACACTGGGAACCAATCATCTAGCCATAGGCTGTGTCCAGTTCCCCAAGCACTGCCTCGAGGGAGGGGAGGTTTGATGAATGGGTGCAGGGTGGAGAGGTGACGTGACCACGACTTTCCAGAAGATGCCCTGGAGACCAGGGTCTGGGAGTTGGTGGAGAAAGCTCAGGGGCAGGACAGACCAGAGAGATGCTGCCACCAGAAGAGGCTTCTTGCAGGAGCAGCAAACACCCAAAGCCCTGAGCCCGGAAGAATTAGAAGCAGGGTCTCAGGGAGATATTGGGGCATCCACGTGCATAGCAACGTTGTTCACAGTGACCAGAACGTGGAAGCAGCCCAAGTGTCTATCGCTGAATGAATGTGTAAATAAAATGTGGTCTATACATGCAATGGAATGTCATTCAGCCTTAAAAAAGAAGGAAATTCTGACATTTGCTACAAGATGAATGAACCTTGAAGATATTATATGCTAAATGAAATAAACAGTTACAAAGGGATAAATTCTGTATGATTCTACTTATATGAAATACCTAGTGTGATGGTTAATTTTATGTGTCAACTTGACTGAACTAAGAGATGCCCAGATAGCAAGTGAAACATGATGCTGGGTATGTCTGTGAAGGTGTTTCCAGAAGAAATTAGAATGAGTGGCCCTCAGCAATATGGGTGGGCATCCCCCAGGCTGCCCAGGGTCTGAATAGAACAGAAAGGCACAGGAAGGGTGAATTTTCCCTGTGCTTAAGCTGGAGCATCTCTCTTCTCCTGTCCTTGGACGCTGAAGTGCCTGGTTCTTGGGCCTCCAGACTCAGACCAGGACTTGTACTAGCAGCCCGCCCTGGTTCTCAGGCCTTCGGGTTCAGACTAGAACCACACCACTGGCTCTCCTGGGCCTCCAGCTTGCAGACGGCTGATGGGACTTCTCAGCCTCCATGATTGCATGAGCCCAATGTGTCATAGTAAACGTCTGTCTATGGACACACACAAACACACACACACGTATGTATATATGTCTTCTGATTCTGTTTCTCTGGAGATTGCTGAGTGACATACCTGCAGTAGCCAAATCATGGAGATGGAAGGTAGAATGGGGGTCACTAGGGGCTGGAGGAGGGGAGGGTGGGGATTGGTGTTCAGATGGTACAAGGTGAAAGCAGTTCTGGAGGTGGTTACACAGCAGTGTGAATGTACTTCACATTCCTGAATTGTTTTCTTAAACATG